TGATCCCCAGTGTGATCTTCCTACAGTTTGAATCTAATCAGATTACCCTCAGGCTCCCCTTAACTTAAACAGGGTTTGCAATCTGACAGCCTCAAACTGAACCCACGCAGTCTATATAGTGTTTTGAGAAAAAGAGAATTACTGTATTTCGTTGATTCTGAGATGTACATTTTTTCTCGTTTTAGAATCTCTGATATTGGGATGTATCTTAAAATTGATAGAGTGCCATAGTTTGATTGGTGGTGGTTTTCTTTCTTACTGGTACATAACATAATAATGCATCCTGTAACTGATGGCATCTTAAATTTGCTGAAATACACTTGTGCTAACATTTAAAAATAGAGAGATCCTACATAAAAGTATGTTCAGCTTCTCTTACGTTGGGCAACATTGGGCCAGGATTTCTGGATGCCAGCTTGAGATGGAGCTAGCAGTAAGCAGCAGCTGCCTCATTTAGACAAAAGCTCTCGACAGTGTCCCGTGCTTTCCACTCAGGCTGCTTTATTCATTTATATTATCTGCTCAAACCCATTAAGCATTTGAAATTACAATCTCTGACTGATAGGTTAAAGTCCAAATTCTTTGTTGTGATTTGTAAGAATGCTCTCAGTTGGTACCAATCTACCTTCCCAGTTTAATGTCTCCAACCTCCACTCTATACACCTACTATCCCCTAATCTCAAAAAACATTACTCAAACATAAAATGCTCCCATGTTTTCTGGAATGCCCCACCTTTTATGCTCTTGGAAACATTTCCTGGTTTTCCCAGGCAGAGCTGATTTCTTTCTGGACTCCAGTAGTACGTGGGCATATCTCTGTGCCTACACCTCCTGTCTTGAAATTGTTTGTATGTATGCCTGTGTCCCTCATTACACTGTGAACCTGGTAGGGGAATGCATCATAATTTATTCATCATTGTCTCCCTGCCTCCAAGCTGGAACGTGCTCAGCAAGGATCTGTTGAGTAAAGAATGGATGGGCTGCACCTTCTGACTGGAATCTCGGTGTTTTTGAGTTTTCCCCATGGAAAGAAAACTAAAAGAGAAGTTAGAGGGAGGGGCAAGTGTTTTCTGAGTTGACAGCAGAAGATACTGTTTCTGGCTGCAATTTAGGAAGTCCTGGGCAGTCAAGGTCAGCCTCTCAGGACTCCAGTATCTATAGACCCAAAGGCGCTAAACCAGAGTCAGCTCTGTGAAGTTTTTTAAAAATGTATTTTTAAATTAGCATAGAATGCAATTGACTTGTTGTACAGTTCTGTGAATTTTAACACATGGATAGATTAGTGTAACCACCACCATAATCAGGATACAGAACATTGCCCCCCAAAACTCCCTCCTGCTAGCTCTTTGTAGTCACTCGCCCTCTCCCACCCCTGGCAGCCACTAATCAGTTCTCTGTCACTAAGTTTTGTCTTTTTGAGAATGTCATATAAATGTCTGTCACCTTTTAAGCTTGGCTTCTTTCACTCAGCATAATGCCTTTGAGATCCATCCAGGTTGCATGTATCAACAGTTCATTCCTTTTAATTGCTAAGTAGTATTTTACTGTATGGATATCCCAAAGTTTGTGTAATTCATTCACCCATCGAAGGACATTTGGGCTGTTTTTAGTATTTGACTGTATGAATGTGTACATAGGTTTTTGTGTAAATAGAAAATTTCTATTTCTCTAGAGCAACTAACCAGGAGTAGAATTGCTGTCATATGGTACATGTATGTTCAACTTTATAAGAAACTACCAAACTCTTTTTCAGAGTGGCTGTACTACTTTACATTACTACCAGCAAAGTATTAGAGTTCTAGTTGCTCCGGATTCTAACCAGCACTGGGTATTGTTTGTATTTTTTAAAAAGATTTAACCATACTAATAGGTGTATAGTGGTATCTCATTGCAGTTTTAATTTGAATTTCTGCTTCCTTGAATCCAGTCTGGGGGAACTGCAGGGGAAAAAATAAGTTAAACTCACTGCCACATCAGTGACGCTTCAAATTCCCATCTGTTTCCATAATCTGCCTTCTACCATTTACTTTTCAGAGTCCTTATGTTACTTATTTATTGCTGTGTAACAAATTACAAGAAAATATAGTGGCTTAAAACAACACACATTTATGATTTCACAGTTTCTGTGGGGCAGGAACCTGGGCAAGGCTTACCTGTGCCCTCTACTTCAGGATCTGTGATGAGCTTCTGCAATTGAGGTGTTGACTGGGCTGCAGTCATCTGAAGGCTTGACTGGGGAGGGATCCACTTCCAAGCTCATGTGGTTGTTGGCAGAATTCAGTTCCTTGTGGCCTGTTTGACTGAGGGCCTTAGTTTCTTGCTGGCTTTTGGTCAGGGACTTCTCCCAGTCCTTTGTCACATGGGCCTCTTCAATATGGCTGCTTACTTCATTGAAAGCATTCAAGCTGTGAAAGTGATAGAGTCTGCTAGTAAGACCAAAAGTCACAATCTTTTATAACCTAGTTACAGAACTGACATCCTGACGCTGTTGCCATGTTCTATTGATTAGAAACAAGTCACTTGGTCCAGCTCACACTCAGGGGGAGGGTATTACACAAGGGCATGAACTGACCAGGAGGCAGGGATCATTGGAGCATCTTAGAGCCTGCCTGCGATAGTCCTCAAATAGCTGCTGATTGGATTCTGTTCATGTGTTCATTCCATGGGAGAGACAAAGTAGAGTGGGTAGAATGTCCTTTCTCCATCTTACCCAGAGAATGGACCCTTGATATGGGCATATTTATTTATTTACAACTAATACTACTGAACTCATCTATTATGTACATGATCAAATATACATGGAAATAGAAAAGTTAGCAAGAATAAGAAAATAGATAAAATGGAGAAAACTATGAAGGTTTTGATTTGATATATGAACATTCAAGGTTAATTTAAGGAGACCTTTTAAACTCAAGCCGTCTAGGACCAATCTAGGGTTAGATTAAGCAGTGATGAAAATTTAAGTCCTGGTATCTACTAATCTTCTATTTATTAAATCAAAACTAAGGAAAGTCCAACTTTTGTATCTACGGTGGAGCCTTTTCAAAGCTGAACTGCCACACCTCAGCATATGACAGCTCTTTCAGCCTGTCATTGGGGTTGCTGACCAGTGATCCCAACAGACACATCTGGCCAGTACTGACCTTAATGAATTTGTTCCACTTGATAGTGGCTCATAACCCACCTTTGATTTCTTATAATGACTTCTTAATGACTTGCCAAATCTGGTCTCTTTTTTCTTTGATTTAATGGGGTATTTCAATACCCAGAACTCACCCTTGGAAATATGCTTAATCTTTTCTCTTTATTTAAATGTAAAATTACTTAGTATTCCTTTCCTCTCTTTAAAAGGGAGCAGGCCCCTTAAATCAGGATTCCTTGAATTTTTTTGATCATGAATCCCTCATGGTAAAAGGTTTTTGAGAATGGACCCTTGATACAGGCATATTTATTTATTTACAACTAGTACTACTGAACTCATCTGTTATGTACATGATCAAATATACGTGGAAATAGAAAAGTTAGCAAGAATAAGAAAATAGATAAAAATATGAGTTTTAATGTTTGTTTTCTGCTCTCCAATGGATCTCTGCACATCTGCTGTGGGCCAGGAACCCCAATTTTGGAGACTACTAGGGGTTAGGAAGTGATAATTGGATATGATTGCTTACTATTGGCCCCAGCACCAGAAGGCTACCTGAGAGTTGCCAGAGCTGGGAGGCCAGCCGCACCCGAGCTCCCCTGCTTTGGTACTATCCGGCATTGAGGTATCAGGAGCCAGAAGTGGATGGACGCCTTAAGTACCCACCACCAAACAGATCTGTGCATGTTGCTGTTATTTCAGTCTACTCCTCAATCCAGCTGCTTTGCCTAGATCCTAGCATACTTCTCAGGGTGTGTCATGATTAATAATAGGAGCTGCCCGTTAGAATTACTTTGCCTTGGCAGAAGTTGGAACTATGGCCAGCTCTAGGAAGCTTGTGAAATAGGAGAGGTTTGCCTACGATGTCCTCTTTCTCCCTTGCGAGATAGCCAGCCTGCTCCGATCCCCTCTGTTTTTCCATAGTTTGCCATGGACTAACTACGTGTCATGGTTTGGGTTCCCTTAGAAGGTTCCCTTAGAAGCAGAGCCTGAGACAAGCATTTGAGAGCAAGAAGTGTATTTGGAAGGTGAAGGCAAAGCCAGTAGGAAAGTGGGGAAGTGAGAAAGGAAGGGGGGGCAACCAAGAAAGAGTAAGTCCACCCGAAGAGCTGGAGAGGGCAGCCATTTTTTAATCTTGACAGATTGGTACCTTTCTCTACTGGCCTGGTTCCCCTCTCCCATTTCACATCCTTGTTAAGTACTGTAGAACAGGTATATCTATGAGAACACCCTCTTCTCCTACTTTTTTCTTCTGGCCAATGCCTGCTCAGTTGTCAGGCCTCAGCCTGTACATCCCTTCTAGAAAGCCTTCTCTCTTCCCCCTTTCTATTACAGGGCTCTTTCTTTGTGCCCCCGTAGTGTCCTTTACCTGTTCTATTGAAGATTTTATCATACTATATTGCTTTTGTTTATTCATGTAGTAGATATTTATGTGCCTGGGCACTGTTATATGTACCTGGAGCTTGTATTTTAATAGGGGAGACAGATTTCAATTTGTAATTTTATTGTAATTTCTTATGTACTTACGTGTTTGCCCCACCCAATCATGTGTATTTTGTTCACCATTTATGTTCCTGTCCTTCAGCACAGTGTCCGCCACGTAGGAGGTGCTCAATAAACATTTGTTGAATTGAATGGAAGAGCACGAGGCATCTTAATTAAGGATGATTTGGTATTGCCATGGCCTTTCTCTGGGGGTAATCCGATCTCTCACTTTTCCTATTGGCTGTTTTCATATGGTAATATGCCCCTCGAGAAATAAATTGATCCACCTTAACTGTTAGGTGTATAAATCTGTTAATGAGTAGCTTTTGAACTGTTAACATTACTTTGCCCTTTATTTTTTTCTTTTTTTCAGGCTAGGAGACCACATCCCTGCTCAGTTGAAAGAAAGCCAGAGAGCATCTGAGAAGAGGCTGAAAACTGAATTTTGCAAACACACAAGGTGCTGACCCAGGGAGTATAGTGTAATGATTAGAAATAGGGGTAGGGGTTCTAGAGTCAATGTGCCTGGGTTCAGATCCCAGCTCTGCCCCTCGTTTGCTGTTTGACTTTGGGCTATAGTTCCTAATGTGTAAATAGGGATTATAATAATATAGACTTCTTAGAATGGTGTGTGGATTAAATAAGATCAACACGTGTAAAATTAATAAGTGCCTAGAACATGGTAAGTGCTCCATAAATGTTATTATCATTATTGTGATTTATTCACATACATCAGTGTTGGTTCATTTAACAATTGGAGGCTGATTGTAGGATTCCTTGTAATTTTCATTTCAATATCCTTTGTACAATAGAAAAATACAGTGAAGTTGTTCATTTAAAGCAAATTCTAAGTTTTAAACAAATCACATAAAGGGCACAGCCAATCCAGTCCATGGTCCAGAGGCTGGCCATTAAAATAGCCACCTAAAGCATGAGTTTTTTTCCCCCTCCTTTCCTTTCTTTCTGTGATTAAACAAATATATTTGGTGAGTACATTTTATGCATTCGGTGCTGGGGATGCCAAGAGGAAGGAATGACATGGAGACTCCTTTAGGAGTTCACATGTAAGAAGGCAATTTACAACATACTTTGGGAAGCTATAATTGGACACACACATGGCTTTGAGAGCCAGAAGACAGAGTGACTAATTCTCTTTTGGTGATTCAGGGAAGGCTTCACACAGAGGAGGTGACATGTGAACAACTGTATGTAGACATAGCTATCATTTAAACGCTGTGGATTGAATAGGCATTTGGCCAGGAAAGCCAGCCATATAGCTACATTGTCCACTATTTTTTCAGGAGCCTGGGTAATTATGCTGTCATTTACAATGTGTGTGACAGGCTCATCAGGTCCTAGTCTTGGCGTTTCAACCATGGAAACCTGTACGGTTGTATTGCCTCACAATGAGGCCCTCTGATAATATTCAATATGCTAATAGGAATACAGAAGCCCAAAGCTGCCTTTCCAGTTGTTTTTGAAGTGACGCCATTAGATTAAATAGCAAACTAGGTAGCCACTTTACTAAATCTCCTGTAGCTATCAATTGCAGAAAGGAATTGGGCTAAAGAGCAGCTTGGGTGTGATCATGAAATGGCTATGGCTGGAGTGCTTTAAGTCCTAGTTGGTGAAGCCTAAGGACAACAAGCTTGAAAACATGCTGTGTAACCAGCTGGGAAGAGTTTGGGAGAAAAATTGCTGCCAGTGCAGCTAGTCAGCATGAGACTCTGGAAGAAAGACCACCCTTGGGTTGCCTTGAAAGATAGGAGAATTGTGGCTGCTGGCATCCATTACTGACATTGGCACTTTGGGTTTCCAAATGTGCCTTCCTCCTCTTCCTTCTGAAACTCAGCAAAATTACAGATCAACTTTCCTTTTCCTTTCTGCTAATGAGGAGAGGTGACTCTCCCTTTCACACACAGGTTCTCTAACAAGGAGCTAATTGAACACCTGGTGGAATACAAATATCACATGAATTAGTTTATAGCACTGCACCCAATGACTGCTCCCTTAAACCCATCCCTTTCTAGTCCTAAGGAGCAATGTTTAGTTTTCCCACTACCTTCTCTTCATTGTACTCAGGTTACTGTAGTGTTTTCTAAAAATTATCCTCAGTTGATCTAAAGAATGCTTTTCTGCCCTTATTGATGGAAATTCTCTTATCTACTTTGTACTGATGCAGATTATTTATGCAAATAGCAGCCAGGTCTGGCCTGTACAGAGCCTGGTCCCCTAGGAAGCAGTCATGTGACCACTGACTTTGCAGCCCATTACTTGAGCACATCCCTTTATCTCCAGGCCAGACACAGAGCAGGGTTGGGGCAGACAGCTGCGGCTCACAGCCAGCTTGGCCTCTCCTAGATCTGTGGCTCTGGGCTCGCCTGCCAGCCTGAAAGGCAAAGCAGCCTGGCCCTGTTCTAGTTCTAGTTATTTCTTTATGTATGTTTGTGTACGTGTATTTATTTATTTATTTAAGCAAGAGCTCTTCCTGTAGACATGTGAGCTGTGTGCATGTGTATGTATGGGGCGGGGGGAGGGTAGGGTTGGGTGGAGCTCCAGGGAGAGCTGGAATTCTACCTCTTTTCTTTCAGACCTCTGCATTCCCTCATAGGGAAGGTTTTTTCTTGTCTTTGTTTCTCTCGTAACACCTGGTGTGAGGAAAAACCTCTGCATTGTCCAAGCAGAAGAAACAGGTAATATGTTTGTTTGTTCTTAGGCATTTGGGGCAAGCAGAATTCTACACTGTAAACATATATTCTGTGGCAATGAAACAGGGAACATGCACTCCTTGGAGTAAATTTTATTGCTGTGTAATTTCTCAGAATAATTTTTCTCAGAGATGCTGGTTATAAGTCAGTTGTCATCATTTTAAGAAGGTGTACAGATGACTTTGCAATCTGAAAGATTGTGGCCTATTTCAGATAAACTTGTTATTTGGAAAAGTTCTGTGGTCACTTGGGCGAGAGCCAGAAAATGAAGGAAAGGATACCTTGAGAAACCCTTCTAGGTCTCTCATATGGTATTCCCCAAACTCCACTACACAACTTTATATTTAGAAATTTTCCTTTAGCTCCCTTGGCCTCTTATAATCCTAGAGGACCACAGGGTTTCCATTTATCTGTAAGAAATGGAAACAGAATTCCTTGTAATGTTCGAGTTTTCTTTAGTGATTTAGTTCTCACATAGACTGGTCAGATTGGATCCTGAAACCAAGGCATAGCTAGCCTTTTTGTGGACAGACATTTTTGTTATTTAATGATTAAACAGTGAGTCTTCAGTTCTGCCACTAATCAGCTGTGTCTCAGTTCCTTCACCTTTAATGTGGGGGTGGTGATACTACCTTGAAGGTTTGCTGTGAAGATTAACTGGAATAATAGAAATATAAAGCACCTATCACATGCTTTATATAGTAGTCCCTTAATAAATAGTAGTGATTTTAGCTATTATTATTATGACGACGACGACTACTACTACTAGTATAAAATTCTTTCAGATCTTAGAGCTCTTGGTGAAAAGAGCCCATTTGTTTGTGAGTCTTCAAGTATCCCAGAACCTGTAGGCACCCAGGGAGTTTAATCTCTGGGAGACCCCAGACAAAGCATTCTGGAGGAAGAGATTTGAGCAAACACAGTGAGCACCTACCTATGCATGGCCCCTTTAACTCATTGGCTAAGAAGAGTTGCTCTTCGTTCAAGCTAGTTTTTTTCCTACCACTGAGCTCCTCATTAAGTCATCAGTATAAGTTAGTAAGGTATATGGTATCATCCCTATTTTCTTATGAGAAAACTGAGGTGCAGAGGAATTAATGACTGAGAATTCAAATTCCGGTTTGTGTGACTTCTAAACTCAAGGCTCCACTGGGCCAGGGTTAGGCAGTTAGGAACAATAGTTCTTGAAATGTTCTACCTCAAATGGGTCCCCTGCTAGGCTCTTTGGGAAACAGTGGTCAGCTCTCAGAGATTCACAGACGCATCAATATATTGAAGGCTCTGAGAAGTCCTGCAATAAAGAGACCTGTTTAACCCTACCTCTCCTGAACTTATCTGATAGTGGGACCTTTTTTTGTCTTATTTCTAGAATTATAAATCTATAGAACTACTCTTCCTCAAACACACTTTGGAAAACCTGGTACCAGGCCAAGCTGCCTCTTGATTACAATCATGTCTGATGTACCAATAGACCCCTTCAGACACCGTCTGGTGGTCAGTATAGTTTCTCCCCTTTTCTTATCCATTCATTTGATGAGACCCGGGAGGAATCACCAGGTTAGTCTTGCAGACCTCTCCTTATTCCTTTAAGACCCCAGACACAGCAAATGCTACAGTGTTCTACTGGAAAGAGCGGTGGAAGGAACCTTTCTAGCATGGCCTTCCTACCCCACCCTATGCCCCTTAATTATATTTAGGCCACAGACATCACGCTATAAAACCTCTGTTTCAATGAATACCAAAGAGAATGCTGTAAGGTGAGTCTGATAAGGTATCTGTCTGCCGTGCTAGTGTCTACACAGTCCGGGGGGAAAGAATTAGACATCTACTGAACTCCCACTGTGGGGGTGGGGGTGGGGTGGGGTAGGGGTTTGGTGCCAATTGAATGACTGTGGGTTCCAGATTTGAGTTCCTCAGGGCCAGAGCTAGAGTAGGAATTTCTCACAAAAGCCAACATCTCTAGGAACATCTGAGTTTCTAGAATGGGGAACTACACAACTGACATCTAGAATGCCAGAGGTGGAATCATGGCTAGGGTGGCTTAACCAAGGTGTGGGAGTTGGGCAGAGATGCACTTTGAAATAAAATAGTGTTAAGAATGAATAAGAACAACTTGGAGAGGCTGGGCTAGCACTTGGAGTGTGCTTGGTGGTGGAGGTTAGGTTGGCTCCAAGTGCCATCTTTTGTTCTTTCCTTGCATTTTCAGCTTTGGAAATGAAAAATGGTTAGGATGAAAAGAACCAAACACCATCAAACACTCCCATCCTCCAGTTCTCTCCACTCACCCCCAACACACACGCACAGTAAAAACCTTTTAGCAGAAGCTTTTCCTTTTGCAGAGTATGAGTGCCAGTTATGACTCACTATTTTATATTTACTCTTTCAAACCATCCTTGGTATGTTTTGGAAGGAGTAGCAGCACTGGGCAAGCACTTGCCAAAATCCACCCCAGTGATTTGTGTCACTGACTAGACATCCTTAGGCCTTTGTAAACCCTGCAGAAGCCCCCCACTTCTTGAGCCTGAGAACCCCTTTCAGGCCCCGGGGAATTGCTCCTTAGAGACTTCTTTAGTGCACTAAGTGCTTTTCTAATGCTGACAGAGGGTGGGGAATGGAAGAAGCTTAGGTTTTACCAAGTAATGGAAAATCCTTAAATCATTTTTATCAGCTTTACCCCTTAATTATATTTAGGCCACAGACATCAGGCTATAAAACATGTGTATGTGTCTGAGGACAGAGATGTCCTCAAAGGCACATACACTGCCTTACAAGCTTGCTTCCCCCCCTACCTTGAAGTCTAGGTTGGGCAGCGTGTGGGAGTGGTAAGTGGCACCTTGCCTTAACCAGCTCATATTTTGGTGAGAACTAAAAAGAACTGATTTTTTTTTTTTTGTCTTTTTGTCTTTTTTCGTGACCGGCAACGGATCGCAACCCTC